AGATGGCGGTAAGGTTGTCACCTTTACGTGCCGGCCGCCCTTTACCCCCAAGAATATTCCTGGTATTCATTTCTGTTAGAGACTGAGTCGAACCCAGGGCCATAGTGCGGCTGAAAGGATTAGGTAACAAACTAAAAATATAAGTTATTAATACGACATACGGCATGACCTCCCCAATATTAAGAACCATGTTTCAGAAAGCGTCTGAAAGAATTCTGTTCCGTTACAGAATTTATAATTCCTTTCATTAAGAAACTGAGGCAGGCTACAAATATGCTATGTGTAGCACTCGTTTAAAACTGCAACAAAACAGTTCGTATTATCGTACGAGGCTTTTTTCCCCTCTGGCTCCAACTTTGGAGCATAGGGTTGATTTCTCAATTTCACTGATAATTTCTACGATTACAGAACGTAGGACTCCTTGGAAGGGTGATCAGCTCGTCGCAAGGACAACACAGACACAGAATAAACGCATACACACACCAAACATCCATTCCTTGTTTTGGATTCGAACCCATGATCCCGACTTCCGAGCGAGCGCAAACAGCAAATTCCTTAGACCGCTTGGCTACCGTGACCGGCGTAAGAGACTAAGGTTTCGGTAAATTGGTTATGAGTCCTTGCGGGGTTATTTACAAAACACGGATGCTTATTGACAAATTATACGTGCATATTTCACGTTTCTACCATTAAAAACTTTAGTGCCTCAATATTCAAGGCCTATTCATGAATCATTTGATGACCGAATTCGGTTAATTAACATCGATTCGCTTTCTTTTCAATTTAAACTTCTGCCTACGCCCAGGAGAAATAACCGGCTGTTCCAATAACTGAAGAATTTTCCGGCTATGCGTTCCTCACAGAATTCATATTTACCAGCTTTTGTTTGCGGAACTGAACACTGTGAATTGAAATATTCTGATATATTTCGTTATCCTTATACAGATGGGTTTCAAAGGTCAAGTTGGGTTAGACTTGTTTACGTACATTCCTGGAATGGGCTGACTGAACTTTCTAACGGTGCATCTGAAGGACATCCCTACCTTTATAAACTGGTTTGGCGCTTCTTTATCCTGCACCAGATCCATCATAATGAAAAAGGACATAACCTGACCATGATTTCATACATGGCACGTCTGCATTGTCTGCTGTACACGAGAGAGTCCATGCACTATAAAATGACAATTTTGAAGTAGTTATATTCTTCCTCAGGTTTCGCGGATTAAGCTCTCTAGTTCGTTCCACTTCTAAATTAATTTATGAGAGCACAAACTTTTTAGACCCTTGGTGGGACGCTTTGAATGGGAAATCGGCCCGCCGCTAGTCTCCATCTGCACACACAAACAAACGCGAACATATACTTATTCCCCGAGTAGGATTCGAACCCACAACTCGCATTTGCGTTACTAATTTTGTACGATGTATATCCAAGTAGGTCTTCTGTAGATGGAAGTTTTGGATAAATACTTAGACTTGTCTCAAGGGCCGTACCAGAGCTCAGGCGGTTAGTCGCCGGCTTCCAGGTTCATTCCCAGGTCAGGTCATGTGGGATTTATGCTGGACAAAGTGACACTGGGGTAGGTATTCTCCCAGTATTTCTGCTTTCCTTGCCAATTCTCAATTCCACCAACTATTCCACGTACCATCAACGTCATCATCTCTGACTGCTACTGTAAGCCCATTAGTTACCGACGTACCAAGTGAACTGTCTCACCCCACCCCAAGAATAAAAAAATAAAAGAATAGGCCCGGAAATTAATGCGATGTTAACACATCTATCGGCATGACGGGTATAGGACTGGAAGTGTCGTTGAAAATACAATAAATACGTACCAAGAGACAGGTTATTATGTGAATGAATTGTCTGTAAATGAAACCTGGGGGCCCGAACATCCCCCTTTTTATTCTGCGAGTTTTTAAAATGACGGAAAATCCACACAAAAGTAGGAAGTGACGGAAGGAAACTGTAACATTTATTATATTATTCCCGTACGTGTGTATGTATGTATGTTTGTATGCATGCATGCACAATATTGATTTCAGTGACCCTTTATTTTAGATACCTGTATTTAACGACTGCAATTGGGGCCGCCTCTGTGGTCAGCGTTTTTTGCTACAGATCCAGAGGTCCGGGTTCGATTCCCGGCGCTGCCAGATTTTCTGTGAAGTAGTGGGTCTGGAACGGGGTAGACTCAGCCTCGTGATGATAATTGAGAAGCTATGTCAAAGAAATAGCGGCTCCGGTCTAGAAAACCGAAAATTAACGGCCTTGGGGATTTGCTGCGCTGACCACGCGACACCCTCTATCAGCAAAACTTGGAAATAACTTCGCCGACAAACGGGGATCGCTCGGTCGGTATAGTTTGCTTGCGGACTAAAATCACGGAGTGTGTTTTTTTAACGTTAGAAAACCAGTACACTGTGTGATACTTACGGGAGTGAAAAATTCCGGTTTTGGCCAGGCAATTGGCTGTAGTTATCGAATTATTCAAGATTTTTGCCACTTCCTCTTCGCATATATAGCCTCCTGCAACAGCTGACGTAATGACTTCGCAGGAGAAACCAGGAGCTCCTCTGACACGCCCTACGCGGTGCTAACGTTCGTTGCAGGCCGACCTCCTCCACGCTGAGGCTGCAGCTTCCTTTAGTCTCCAGTTTTCAGACCATCTTCTGAATAACACTCTTTAATGGTATTGCAATACGGAAACGATTTCTGAAAACCTAGTGACATTGGATGAACGCACCCGTAAGGCAGTACAAGCGTATGAGAAAAACAGGGTGCACAAAACTGGGAGTCACAGACTGGGCGAAATGGTGAGAACCATGCGGACATGCACCATGGCAGTGGTACAAGGTACACTGTATTGCAACGTTTCATTATTACAGGATAATTATTGCGTTATTTGCAATTACTAGTTTGGGGCCACTTCTGAATTAATGTATCTCTTTATGAGATGATGATGGTCGATTGGATGTTAACTCGGGAACCAAATGGCATAAACATACCTGGACTTACATCGTCCAAAACGCAGGCTCTGTTCGGTGGTGCAACTCTCGAATGTTTATCTTAAGTAGATTTTGTGAGCGCAAGTGATAAGGAAGTGCACCAGACCACAGACGAATCACCGGTATCGTGTGCTAGGAACCGGTAAAAGGGGAGCACAGTGACTCGCTATGTCCGTGACATGGCTCTGTCATATGTGACTTTTAATTATGACATACAGGTTCTTCCTAAACGAACCGAATAGCCTGGCTCTCTTACAGGATTCTTAGCCGGAACCTTAAGAGTCACTTCGAGAAATATAACATATTCAGCCAACAGCCGAGTTTGCCCGATATGGCCTTCCCAGAAAGTAACTGCAGTTACACCTACTTCTGAAAGTAGATGTCTTTGTTTCCTAAATGACGTTGCATCAGCTCAATAAAAAGTAAAACGTCGAATTAGAAGTGATAATATGTTCGTTCTTTCTTCTTATTATTTTTGGCCAATTTACAATCTACTTAACCGTAAAGGAAGTAACAAGTTAATGTGATATATCTTCTTATGTCTTGAGGGCGGTAACTGCCCAGCGGCAGTTCTCATCCATTTAATTTCTTAAGTCTTTCGGCTACTTTTTCTTCAATCTTCTTGCATTAGCGTGTGGGTTCGATAGGTCATCGATTAGCTGGTTCTCATGGCCTGTAATCCGGTTTTGGTATTTGTTAGCTTGTTTTCTTGATCTCATCCTTTATGAAGGGTATGTTGAGGTCTTCGTGGATGGTTTTATTTGATACGTACCATTGTGTTCCTGTTATACCTCGTAAGGTTTTCGATTGAAACATTTGTAGTATTTTGGTACTGGATGGTTTAGCGCATCCCCACAGCTCAATGCCTTAGGTCCAGATGGGTTTAATAATTGCTTTATATAATATGACTTTATTTTCCAGAGACATCTTTGACTGCTTTCCAATAAGCCAGTTCATCTGTCTCGCTTTTAACGTTAATTGTTGTCATTTCATCTTTATGTGTATTTGCCACGTTAGTTTATGATCTAAGTGAAATCCTAGATATTTTAATTCGGATTTGGTTGGTATAAGAAAATTGTTGATTGTTACTCGAGGGCAGCTAATTCGTCGAGTGGTGAAAATAATTTGTGCTGATTTGCCACTATTAGTTTTTATGCGCCATTTTTGGACCCACCGCTGTAGAAGATTTATGTGCCTCTGTAAGTCTACCGAGGTTATCAGAGGATCTTGATTTGCTGAGAGTATTGCTGTATCAACTGCAATAGTGGCCAAAACAGTGTTGTCTGTAGTTGGTAGGTCAGCGGTGTAGAGCAAATAGAGGAACGGGCCTAAGAACCTTCCATGCGGCACTCCGGATTTGATGTTATGGACGTTGGATACATCATTATTTATTCTAATTTGGAAGTGTCTTTCCGTTAAGTATGATTTCGGTAGCAAGAATATTTGACTCTGTAATCTTTTCTTGATTTTGTAGAGTAGATTTTTGTGCCAGGCCTTGTCGAACCCTTGTTCCATATCTAAAAATGCTGCAGTACAAATCTTTTTGTCGTCCATAGCTTCCATGAGATATGATGTCTCTGTTTCTGGTTTCCCCGGTTTGGGGATCACAATTATTTGTGCAAATTTCCACTGAATAGGTTAGTAGCACAATAGGAGTATACTATTGAAGATGACTGTTAGTAGGACCAGGGACTTCCTAGTTAAGTGTTTCAGGAGTTCGCCTACAAATAGGTCATACCCGGGAGCTTTGTGGGAGCTTATATTATTTATCTCTTGTGAATATATTCGTAAAGATTATTTTGATATAATCTGAAATCTGCCAAAATATATTGTCACGGTATTTGCATGGAGGGACTGAGTATACCTCAGTTGCTACTAATGGTACCCTGTGTCCAGGCATCTCTTGAATATTAAACAAGAGAGCAGTGTTTTTTCTTTCCTCTTTGTGATATGCATTTCTGTGTGGGCACACTGAGTTGTGTTCTCTTTTACAGATAGTCGCCCTGATGCTGGGGGTGCTGACTGCAGCTGACTTCGTGGCCTCAAAGCCCCAGAGTAGTCCAGCCAACACGTATCTTCCTCCAGATCAAGGCTACCAGTACCACAGACCCACCGTTCCGTTTCCGTCTCCGGGGCCCTCGGGGCCTGCACCTACGTATCCTAGACCGTCTCCAGTCCCAGGGCCATCGGGACCTGCACCTACATATCCTAGACCGTCTCCCGGTCCAATCAGGCCTTCACCAACACCAACTTATGGACCTCCACCACCTGTACCTCAGGGACCCCCAAGGCCGCCTCCAACATATGGCGGAGGCCAGGTAAGCAGTCACATAGAGCCATCTGAAAGTGTCTTCATGTTACAAGTACTTCGCCACTATTTCTATAATTGTTATTATTTTTTTTAATATAATAATGATGGCTCTTAGAACAAATATCGCGCTATAATAAAGTAGGAATTTATATGTCCTATACAGAGTAGATCACATTGCACAGTTCGCAAGAACATCTGTTTAGTATTCCAAAGACTCGATTGCTTCTTCTTAAGTAATTTCTTAAAAGACAACTTATTTATTTTTCATTTAACAGAAGATATGTCTACATGTTACTGGTGCTCGTTCATATTAACATAATTTGGTAACTGTATCACAAAGTTAGGAAAATATTTATACCTTGAAGCTTTACACCGTTTTAACAGGTTACAATCATGTACAAGATGTTCAGCTTGCTTGTACTTTCCTGTCAGACACATCTAACTAATTTGGCGTCTAGGTGAAGACAGGAAAGCGATATCCCTACATAGGCCTACTCGCCTGTTTTAAATATATTTACACACTTTAGAAAATTTCTTTTGCTTGACATGCAAGATTTAGATATAAGAAACTGCGTTTAATGTTCGAGTGCTGCTATGTCGTGTACGTTCTGCAGCCAAGCATTGAGAATTCTATAACTTCATAATTATGCATGTATATATATATATATATATACATGCAGGATGTAAATCAATATATGTTACAACGCTCTGTGGTAGATAGATGGGGTAAACCTCATCATATTTTTTAATACACTCATGTCCGGAAACGTTTCCATATGCAATAAGGGCCATAAATTTTCCGAGATGATGCATAAGTTTTAGGGAATGTCATCGCTGTTTTACACAATAAAAGTTGCTCAAAATGGCGGCTACCGACTTCATTGCATGTTCTTCATCGCCGGGCTATGTTCTGCTGAACTCTTTGAAAGATTCCCAGCATTTCCCGGGTGGTTCCAGCTGCTACTGCAATTCTTGCCATAAGATCACGTAGTGTCTCCACTGGAGTCTCGTACACCAGGCTTTCCATGTGCCCTTGGAGAAAGAATCCAGTGGAGTCAAGTCAGAGAAGCGAGGGGTCAGGTTATTGGGCCTCCAAGTTCAATCCATCTGTTGCCAAAAGTTTAGACCTCCCCGCCATCCTCGGCTGAAATTTAAACTGAAAACATCTCAAATACAAGTCTAGGACTATGTCTCTAAACTAACCAATTTAGTACCTTTCTAAACTCTGCTAATCTTAAAAGAAAATTGTAGTGACATGTGAATTTATGAATGATAAAAGATTGAAGTATCTTACTGAAGTCCTGCAACTCAGATTTGTATAAAATGTTATTAAAGATAAGATAAATTTGTCCCTGTGCTTAAATAATTAGGAACTAGGTCATGAAGGCGTATGGTGGAGTGGATGTATAGATCCACATTTTCTTGACCTCGGCACTAGCTGGAGTTGAGTGGTCACCTTCACGCCCCTGCCGCTTTACCCTCGGGAAAAGAGCCCCTGGTACAAATTGTATGGGAGTTTGGGTGGACCCCAGAGTCAATCTGGACAACGTTGAGAAGAGAAAAGTTTTGACCCTATAGGGACTCGAACTCCGAACCCTCGGTCGTCCGGCCCGTAGCCAGTCGCTACACCGACTACGGATAAGATATTATTACAAGAACAAATATGGTGTGTAATTCAATGCATTAATTTCTTGCCACGTAAGCTTTCTTAAAGCGAAAGCAAAATTTGTAATTCACAAATATTTAAGTATCATTGTAACTGGAGGTTGTAGTTATATAGAGGGATTTATTTCCCAATTAATTTATTCTAGCTCTCAATCAGCATTCAAATAATTGCTCGGAGGCTTATTCCAGTTTCATCTGCCAACATTACGATTACCACACCGAAGTTTGTACTTAGCTGCTTTAGAGATATGGGTGTATGCTTGCCTTCACGTGTGAAGCCATTTTCTGCATATTTCATGACGAAAATATTTCATTTGGTGATTAGAACAAAGTTCAAGATGTTCAGGACATAACATTATCTGTGTATGGATGAAAGCACTTATGTAGTAATAAAGTGAACAATTTTATTTGGTTTGTGTTTTAAATTTGCAGGTATAGGATGTTCGTTAAAAAGTCATGGTTTCGTAAGTCTACTTCATGTCATTAAGGATTGTTGCGAGAGATCCTGTTATCTATATTGTCACGTATAGGGTGGTAGGCGTGACGAAATTAACGGGTTCTAGTTCGGATGATTGGATTTATTAGCTCTTCAGTTACTTTCTCTTCCTTAACTACAATTACGAGCAATAAGGCGTTATCGCAGATTTACACAATTTACCGTTCACCGTTGCACACGCACTAGGATTCTCAATATCCACTAGTCGTCTCCTGGCAACGCATCTCGACACAGAAACTAGCACCTCAAAACACTACCAAATCTCCTTGTTATTTCGTCTTCAATCACTCTGTACTCCTCTGTCCTAATCTTTACTCGATTAATCTTCATAATTTACACTCCATTCTCATCCTTGTACACTCATCTGCTGAACCCTCTTGGACTCTCCACCAATCCAGTCTACAACAGGTCTTCGTTATATATGCTCAGCTGGGACAACACAGAAAACACAGTCCTATTATTGCTTATCGCAAACCACACAGAAAATAAGTCACGTGATAACTATCTCGTCAGTCCAATGGCGTGATCACTATTGTCTAGCAACGAGCTATAAATATTCGGCCTATTGTTGCGTGCGCGTATCTTGGGGTGTTTATCGAGCTGTTGCCTGGCAATGCGTTGACATGTCACAATACAGGGTGATTAAGAAAGATGGACACAATTTCAATTGGCAATATTTCCTCAATTATATGTTGCATTTGAATTCTGTGAATTACACTTGATTATACATACATGGAAGATTATAGATGTTCAGTGTGCCCCCCTCCGGCTGCACGGATAACATCTAAACGGTAGCTGAATTCATCCCACACTCGATGACAAATATCTTGCGTCACTGAGTTCACCGCAGCTGTGATACGGTTTCTTAGGTCATTCAAATTTGTGGGAAGAGGTGGTACGTAAACTGCATCTTTCACGAATCCCCACAAGAAAAAGTCGCAGGGTGTGAGATCAGGAGATCTCGGTGGCCAGAACTGAAGTGCCAGGTCTTCGTTCCCCATGCGACCTATCCATCTTTGAGGTAGAGATTCATTCAGGAAACGTCGAACATTCTGGTGCCAATGGGGTGGAGCTCCGTCCTGCTGGAAAATGTAATCTCCTGAATCTTCATTCATATGAAGAACAAGTCAGTTTTGCAGCATTCTAAGATACGTTACTCCAGTAACCGTGTTTTCATCAAAAAATAAAGGCCCATAAGCCTTTGTTAACGATATTGCACAGAACATATTAACTTTCGGGCTGTCCCTCACATGTTCGAGTGTTACACGGGGATTTTCTAGCCCCATATGCGAACATTGTGCCTGTTGACTTTCCCACTCAGGTGAAACGTAGATTCATCGATAAAAATTACACGAGGCAGAAACAATTCATCTTCCATGTTTTTGAGCATACGGTCACAAAATTCTACACGCTTTACCTTACCGTTTGCGCGAAGAGCCTGTACCAGTTGTAGGTGGTATGGTCTGTACACTAACCGGCGCCTCAATACACGCCAGACAGTTGTTTGTGATAGTCAAGTTCTCTACTATCACTACGGGTTGACTTCATTAGGCTACGCTCAAAGCTCACTCAAATGAGCTCCACGTTCTCCTCCGATACATGCGATCGGCCCGGGCCTTTACCCTTACGCAGAGAGCCAGTTTCATCAAATTGTTTATTCCAACGATAAATGCTCTTCCTCGTTGGAGGTTGGATGTTAAATGCACGGTGCCCCGCAGTCGCAGACTCACTTTTACTGAACTCACGAATGCAAAAAATCTTGTGTTGCACAGTCGTCATTTCGCTTACAACTGACGCGTTGCTGGAGCGCTCTAGCTGTAATATTAGAAACTTTACAATACCCTCTTTCAAATGTACTTTACAGAATTCAAATGCAACGCATAATTAAGGAAATGTAACCAATTGAAATTGTGTCCATTTTTCTGAATCACCCTGTATTTATGGGCCAGTAATGTCTATTAGTGCTGTTGCTTCTCGAGAACTAGGAACCGAATGAAAGACAGTCAATTCTTGTTCTTCGTCTCTAAACAATTAGAGCGTTGGGCAGAAGAATAATATCCGTCAAAACAAAATATGTAGTTTATATTTTACTCATGGGAACCGGGACAGCTCAGTCTGTATAGCGGTGGGCTACGGGCTGGATAGCCTGTGTTGAATTCCCAGCAGAGGCCAAGACGTTTTCTCTCTAATCGATGCATCCAGACAAACTCTGGAGCCACTGAGTACTGGTTCTGTTTCCTTTGGGGTAAAGCAGTCGGGTCGTAAAGCTGATCACTCACCTCCATCTACTGTCGAAGTAAAGTTTTTTTCAATGGTTCTACAGCCACCTTGGGCCCTGGCCTCTAATTTTTCAGTTTCATAATAATTTTACAGACGGTAGGACTCCTTGGTCGTCCAGTCCATAGGCAGTCGCTATACTGACTGCACTGCTATAAATTACACTACTCTAAAGCAGAGGTAACCAAATATGGCCGGTGAGATCTTCCTATCAGCCTTGTAAATTTATTGTGAAAATTTGCCTATAATATTATAATTAATTATTGTTAATAAATTTCAAATAAAATTTAAATGGATTTTCGGCCTGGCAGAACTATTTCAAACTCGAATACATCCCTTCGACTGAAAATTATACCCAGCCCTGATGTAAAGCGTACAAAGCTCTCCCTACATTAGGCAGTGGAGGCTCATAAGTTCATGAGAAGTCGACGCTCCACATTCTCTAGGCAATCAGCTCACAGATGGCGGTGAAGTTGTCAGCCTTACCCGCCGGCCGTCCTTTACCCCCAGGAAGATTCCTGGTAGTCATTTCTGTTAGAGGCTGAGTCGACCCCAGGGCCATAGTGCTG